AATAATAAAAAAAAGATGTACTGTCCTTTCACTAAAACAGACCAAAAAAAAAAAAAAACCCACAGAATGGAAAACAGCCTTCACAAATAAGAGTGAATAATGCCCAGGTACCTTATATAGGCAGTTATTCTACAACTGTATACAGTTATTTACAATGGTGCTTTATAAAACAAAAAAAAAATGGTAGCACTTCCTAAAAGATTTTGGAACTTTTTTTCTTTTTTTTCTTTTTTTAAAACTCCCTTGTCATAAAAGCCAACTTACATTAAAATATACTTACTACAAGACAACACAACTAACAAAATATATAATAAAACTCATACAAGTAGAAAATTCTGAGGTATTTCTGGTTTGAGGTGGTCTGTGGTCATGAAGTTTTTAATTTTTTTTCAGTTTAAACCTCGGAAGCCACGTAACGTGTGTGTGTGTGTGTGTGTGTGTGTGTGTTTTGTGGTATTCTTTTTTTTTAGGTTTTTTTTTTAAACATTGCATGTTTTGCAAATTAAAAAAATATTTCAATGTTGAATCAGCAGCATTAGGAACATTCACTGACTAGAGCGAGTTTATGGCATAATAAGAGTAACGGTATTTTAGAATATGCACCACTTTAAGACAAAAGAGCTTCGTCACAGAGTACGGAGAAAGCAGCGTCAAAGAAACCAGTCGGGGAGATGCAATAATCACTGCTGCTGCTCAGCTGCCTCTGCATCCTGCAACTGGGCAGTTCCTAGGCTTCTCGGATGCTACAGGAGCCATCTGCCACCAGTTCAGGTATTTTCACCCCCCCAACCCCAAATTAATAAGGAAAAAAAAAAATTACAGAGCCAGTTTTCGCACTTTTCCTCTCTTCACCATCTGCACCAGTAGCTTGGGCTGACAGATAATCAACCCCAAGGCCGAATTTCCTGAACTGACTCCACGCTTAAAGCAAGATGCAAAATTTTTCCCATCTTCCAGTATTTCACCGAAGTGTTTCTGAGAACACGCTTTCCCACCTCTTCCAATTACGCTGCTTAAAAGCATCCTTCCCGTTACTATCTAGAGTTGAAAAATAAAAGGTAATTATAGTCCTGCTTTGTTCTTTTACCACCCAAGCCCGAGATACTGGAGGAAGAAAGAACTAGCGCCTTGCTTACAACCACTGGCTCTTCAACTCAGCTTTCTCCATACGCTGCAGCCGGTAATACTCTGCCCAGAAATGTCCTTCCCCTCCTCTAATGGTTACCTGAGAAGTAGCTCCATAGCAAATGATGTTTCCCCAAATGCTGCCAAGTCCAACGTCACTCTCCCCACCCCTATTCTACGCTCCCCCCTTCAATTCTACCATCAAGAATTAACATTCTCCGCCCAGTTACTTTTTTTTCCATGTTACAATGACACCCGTTAGATCCGTAAAAGACACATCTGCTGTTTTTTTTTGAAGCTCACTTCCGAAACAAACAAAAAAAAGGAACTGAACCCAAAACCAAAACAAGAATGGGGAAAAAAAATCCTTTTGAGGAAGGTGTATTCTTTATATAACAGTCTTAAGTTTCCTCCACAGTTTGCAGCATTGCGTTTTCTAAGATGGTAGGTGGTTTTCCTTTATGTCACAGATGCTCCGCTCAGAAGACAGACTGATAAAGAGAAACCCAGAAAACTGAATAAAATAAAAACAACTGAAGTGAGTTTGTTGAGGTTCTGAGGTACCTGCACCTTTTCTGCATTCATTAGTCGGCACCTGAATGCTTGCTGAAATGTCCATTTTTTTAATACAGTAGAGCAATGTGCTGGTAAAATTGATCCAATCCAAAAAAATAATAATAATAATAATAACAATAATAATAAAAAGTCAAGATAAAATAGCAGCTGCATTCATGTGTTTGTTGGATTTTTGTGTTTTTGTTTTTTTGTGTGGTTTTTTTTTAAACTTTTTTCTTTTTTTTTTAAATCCACTGAGTCTGGAAAGACAAAAGTGAACCAGGACTTAGATACTAGACTCTTTGGGTGGCAAGTCCACGTTGGTGACAGACGTCACGATGGAGACGAGGCAGTCCGAGGTAGTGCCGTTTACGGATTTGCGGATCTGCGCAATGCGCTCCTCGACACAGCCCGCCGAGAGCCGAGCCTCCGCATCGTGGTCCCAGCACTCTTCGATGGTCACGCAGAGCTGCGCCAAGCCCTGCGGACGACAAAGGGGGAGAAAGCGCCTTCAGCAACAAAGTCAGCTCCAGGGACCACCTTTGCAGTGGACGGGGAGGTCCACTTCGCACAGCTTAATGCTGTGAAGAAAAACTAAGAATATTTTCTCCACGGTATGCAAATTATCATGAGATTAGCTTTAAAAATTACTTTAAATATAAGTTTCTGGGGTTTTTAAGCTTCTGCTTTCTAAGGCTGTAGGGCTTGGTCACATCCAGCTTTTTTTCATAGCGCCAAAAGTACTTTTTTTTAATATCAAAATACATCCTGAGATTCAGCAGTTAAAGCTTTAAAAGACAAGACATCAAATATTACGATTCCCATGACAAAACCATAAGAGCTGGCAGCACCGTGCCAGTTACTACGAAACCGTTGCTTTGTTTGCAATCACTTCTGTAGCTATCCCCAAAATAACCAAATTCAATGCTGCTGGAAGAGCGCAGCTCTTATTTGAACCCTCATTTGAACTGGCACACTCATCTTCATCTACAGCCCGCAGCTCCCCTTGACTCCTAGGCAATGAGTTGGTACACCTGAGTCTAGCCCAAGCCGTGGCAGTTTGGTCAGAACAGAGGCATTTAGCTTCTTACTGAAGCCCTGGGAGATTTCATCATCTGCTCAGTTTCCCAGTCTAAAAAAAATCACCTCTTTTATTAAAAACGTGAGCCTGAAATGATCTACCTCTGGGAAACCCACGCTACGTTTTGCTTCATTGTCTGCTTGCCTTCATGTCTAGTTAATTTTTCCTCAAAAAATTGTTCAAGTCTTGCATGCTATCTACCTTGTGAGGAACGCGTCTCCAATGGTATGGATCATTTTCTTTTTCTTAATGAAAGGGACTTTATTTTCCATTCTTTCACCATATTAAAGGAGTCCTACTAAGCCACCACACGCTCCACGTTCAGCACTGGCTGACTTAATGAGCTGGTTGACCCTCTAAATACAAGCGACAAATGGAAAGGGGAGCGTGAAGGTGTTGAGCAACCCCTCATTCCCCAGCACTGACTAGACTAGCACTGGGGAGCAGGTCCGTGCAGCAGGGTGGACTGGTTAGCTCCCCTCTGAAGCTAACGAGTGATGCGTAACCGCATCCCTCATTCCCGACACAAAAGAAAATATTTTCCACCATTAACCAGGAGGGACATACAGGGTGTTTCAGCCAGTGATCCTTGAACACGGGGCGCATCTTCTTGTGAACCACCACTTCTTGCAGGTCCTCAAGGGATGGGTGCTGACCTATTTCTTCTTCGAAAGGCAGCATGTATTCATCCACTGGACCTAAGGTGCACATGGAGAACTGGGTTAGTACAGAAATGTCCTCCACAGAGCCACGTCCTCCCCATGCATGAGTGAGCTGTGGCTCCAGAGCAACCTCAACCCACTGCAGCAAAGCCTGAAGTTCCCATGTCACTGGAGACAAATGTGATTTGCATTCCTCCTGCAGAATGGACTTTGCCGTCCCCACTGTTTGTCTGGCCATGCATTTTCCACCTCGTTGACTTACGAATCCGAACCCTCAGCCGGGCCTCCTGACCCCACTGCTGTCCTTTGAGGAGGCTTGCCTGGTAGTCTGTGATTTATTTTAATAGAAAGAGCAAATCTGCCTGTCCTCCTCACATTTTAGCATGGCAATTCAACACACAATAACCTAGAGAAAGGTTTCAGCATGAGCATAATTTCATTTTAGGCGCCAACTAGCAAGGTCAAGCATATACAACACTTACAATTTCTTCCTTTGTGATCTGGCTTGTTCATAGATTTGAGTCAGCCCTGACACGCTGGAGCCAGATGCACTGGTCCCAAGTACCAGCTCCTAAGTGCAAAATGATTTCTGAACACTTTAGTTATACCAGTTATGGCTGTGAACTGCCCTGGGCCACGGAAATGAGACAACTGTTATGAGTATCAGTGCAGATGCCGGACGGTAGCAATAACTTCTGCTTATTGAAATGTCATTTGGCTTTTGGCAATGCATAGATGGTCTCTCAGAAACGGCAGCCCAGCTTAACTGATGGGCTTTCTCAGGGTGCTCCGCAGCATCGCTTACGTTTTCTCGGTAGCAAAGAGTGACCTCTTTCAAGAGTGGAGATATTTCAAGATGGCCTTTCCAGACTAAAATAAAAGAGCTGACCACTTGAGCTGGTCATGAACTGTGACACCAACAACATGATGTTTAGGTACTCTAAAAAAAAAATGAAATCACTAAAACAGCTTATCATTATTCTTGTTGACACAATGCCAGTCACTAAACCAAACTGAAACACTTGTTCCAACGGATGGCACAATAATGCTTATGACCTTCCCTTGCTCTTCCTCCGAGAGGAATCAAGGCTATAAAGAGCTGCACTGGTGATGTCCAAGCCAAATCTGCTGTTTACACATCACTTCTGAGCTAGAAGTGCAGATGAGGTTCAGTGTAACTCCCCGTCATCCCAAAGGAAGCCTCCCCTCTGATTTAACGGTGCTGTGTAATGGCACCCAGAGTATCTTGGCCAGCTGCTGCCTGAGAAGAGTTGGAAGGAGATCACAAACATGACAGGCAAAAATCCAAGTGGATATCTGGGGGGCGTCAACAGAGAAGGGTTATTCCTACATGAGTGATCTGGGTACCACTGTTTCACCCCACTGTGCTCCCACCTCCCTGCTCCTCCAGCATTTTATCTGGTTAGATAGTAAATTTTTGAAGAAAAGACCTTCTCTTACCACACACCTACGCAGGCATCCTAATTATAATCAAGCTACTTGGTCCTATTGTAACACTAACAAAAACATTTGAAGTCCAGGTGAGGTACTGTTAATTTATGAACTTGATATTCAGTCCAGAGCACCCACATCTATACAAGAAGAAAGAAGTTGAAGCAAGCAGCCTTGGAGCTACTACAATGAAATGATTGCTTCCCTGACCAGGGGCAAGGTCCCGCAAATGGCAAGGGTGTCACCAAAGGGCAGATGTGCTATTTGGACAGAAAAGATGCCCCATTTTGCAGCATCATTTTAGGGTAAAAAACATGAGAAAGGATACACCATGAAAGTTCATTATTTTGGATCATTCAGGAGAAAGGGAGATTCTCCAAAGCTGTAGATGGAACAACAAACTCAGCCCATTGCTGAGAGAAGGCTTGATCAGCACAAGTCAAAGATTAATACCTAATGCCTTATAATAGCAGGGAAATGGGCTTGCTGACCCAAGAAGATCCTTCCAGCCCTGTGTTCCTGCTATTTCACCCAGGTGCTTCACTTCTGGGCTTTCCATTCAGGCTACCACACTGCCCTGCAGAAGTGAGGTGTGACAGCCAAGCCGACGCTGAGCACGGCTCTGCTCCGGAGCTCAAAGCCTGCCTTGGTCCCAGGCAGGAATGCAGAGTGCCACGGAGAGCACCACAGAGCAGGCTCAGGACTAAAGGACGCCCACTGCTGAAGGAAGAATCACCTACTCCTTCTCCCTCTGAGTTCTCAGCCACTTTGCAATGCACCCAGTGTAGTTAAAAGCACTTTGAGACTTGAACTCTACAAAGGTTATTATCTGTAGAGAATGACAGCTTATGTGAAAAAACAAGCAAGTGAAAAACAGGTTAGCTGCCTAATAAAAATACACCGTTGATTTTTTTTTTTTTTTTAAACAAAGCCAGGCCCATTCTCTGGACCACTAAACCACGCTGAAACAGAGCCCTCCCAGGGGAGAGACGATCTTTATTCTTACCATCAACTGCTCTACATCTGGAGACTAGTTCCCACAACACCAGTCCCATTGCATACATGTCTATTCTCAGGAAGGCGTCTCGTTGGAAGTTGATTGCTCCCTCTAACACTTCAGGAGCCATATACCTCCTTGTTCCCACCTACAGAGAAAAAACACAACTCAAGTTACATTCCAGTTGGGCCCCTCAGCCTCCGCTGGTTGGAGGTGAATGACAGCTGGTTCCATTAGCCTTAAGGCTACTTCTGCTAAAGTTGCACCTCAGTTGAAAAACAAGCAAATGGGGGCTGTTTTTTCTGACACCGATTCTCATTAAGATCACTCCAGTCTAGATAAGCTACCTGAAAGAAAAAGCCAAAGTGCACGGCTACATGTGCGATATTCATTCAGCGTACGCTACAGGTCTAATTTAAATGCAGCGCGGCACGGTGAGTACGCATGAAATCCTGCCTTCTCTGCGTCCCACCGCATCTTGCTCCAGCAGCAGACGCTGCGTGAGAAAATGCTGTCTTTGGAGACACACAAAACACCCTCAGGTCAAGTCAGACTTGGTTATCATAGTTGTCGAAAGTTCAATCCCCTTCCACTAAAAAAAAATTAAATATATATATAAAAAAA